CGGAGTAGTAGTGTGGCCTGCAAAGTTCCTTTGGTTGATCGTTGAACCGTCAAGGTCTAAGTAGACCTAGCAGGTTTCGTTCCACTAGGTCCATTGGGAGGAGGATGGTTGACAACCCTCGTCTTAGACTCCATCAACACGGTGTCCTTGCCCATTGTTGTCATCATCCTCATCAAGTTTTCTTTCTCATCATGCATCACCCTGCCTGCACTAGCCTCATGCAAGTTCATGCTCATGAGAAATACAACTGTTGTAACTATGAATAAAACATTAAGAAACCTCATGGTGATCTATTGATCCTATACTTGTAGATATTAAACAACGATAGCTAGCTTAAAAATATGAAGGATGTGTTATGTGGAGGGTTAGATATATGGGTATTTATATGCATCAAGATGCCCTTTTTCTGCTGTGGAAAGCATTAAAATTTGAATGGGTCAGAACAGAAGAATCAAAACCAAACCCACTATATATGCTTCTTTGCACTTACTATGGACCTTGCAATACCTTCACCTCAAGACCTACAACCAAGATATATGTATTTACATCTACAATCACGCGATGAGTGTTGTTGATATATATTTTCTTATGTCAACATGTTAACATGATGAGTGTTGCAGATATATACAAAGGGATGTATCTCCAATGAGACATCAGATTCCCTCCTTTTCCTCATGAAAGTTTGACCCAAATGTCAATTAAATACTTTGGGTTGACTTGCTGATTGTATATTAGGACTTGAATTTCCTATATCTCTCGAGTTTGAAGTCATAGATGAAAAATGGTGAAACATGCGATACATGAGGTTTAACGCTGCAATCTGGTTTGAGTTTTGACTCATACATTACCCCCATTTTTCACGGCCAGCCACTTTCTCCTTTAGCCGCACTCCTTATGCATTCAAAGTTTGGAACTAAAACGCGGTGGAAACGTGGATCTTTACTTGGAATGTCTGCATTTTAGTCTCAATTTTTGCCCGTGCTTCACTTTTACACTACATTCTTTTTCGTTTTCCCTGGTCGGAACTTCTGAAAAGACTTCATTTGCTGGGAAAACGACAAGAGTTTTTAACACGAGCCGTTTTGCTGTTCTCAACAGTGAGGGGGAAATGAGAGAGCCTGTTTCGGTCCTTGGTTGTAAAGTACGTATGGAGTAAATACTCAACGAATCTACAAACCAAGAGCCGGACTTGGAAATAATAATAAACAGATCAACTGTTGATGTAACACTAAACGCGGAAAGATTGATTAGTGCACAAGCAACAAACTATATAACACGTCTTGGTATACATATATAAATATATATGTTCTCTGGACAAAAATATACAAATATATGAAACCCAAATGTATTCAACCTTAACTAATGACCACTTCACTACGAGATAAGGTACTTATTTCGGTCTGCTGTACATTCAAGACTATACAAATATACTAGCAGCAATGACCCCAAAGAACCAATATAGACAGCGCTGCACATCAATCGGTACAATTATCAACACAAGTACAAGCAATAAGAATCGAGATTCACAGGCGAATGGTGCTCATAACTGCAGTATTGAAATCCAAGCCGTAATTGAAAGGTGACTTTGTTATGAGAGATCTCCATGTCTTCTTCTTTGGATGGTAGATTTGGATGTAAAGTGTTCCTGCTCTCTTACGCAGTCGTGACCTGCGGATTTCTGCTGGTTCAACTGCCTTCAAAAGGGTTATTACATGCAACTCTCCATCCAATACAACGAATCCAAATTCTGAGTCGCATGGGACCTGTCTTGGTAGACGTGATTCCTTACGCCAACGGTTTGAAGCCATGTCGTATCTGCAGTGCAGTAGACAGGAATACTTTAACTATTATGTGGAAGCAACATAAGCAAAAACTTCAATAAAATGATCACTCAAAGATCAAATTAATAATGAGGAAGAAATTCAAAGCACATAATGCATACACACAAAAAGACATCAATAAGCAGTCACAAAAGTGAAATTAAAAGAATGTGATCCCATAAGAGAATTACCTGTACTAAACTACTGATAGTCCCAGAAAACCATGCATCTCTCAACATTTTTTTTCAGTAACAATCTCTCAACATTTTTAATATATTACTTTAGAATGATTAAACAAGATTTTCACTTGTGTAAACCACAATCAATCAAATAGAAAAGTAAACTAAAACATCACAGCATTGTGTCCCGGTAGAACCTGTGCCATTTAAGTCATAAATTTAAATTGCCATAACCATCCAAATTAAGTCACATAATAAGTTTTTCGTAGTTCAATATAAATGAAAACACGAAGATTTCGGGCTCTGTCTTCTGCATTCTCCTTGTGGTGAAAAATAGAGATAACATTGAAACTGAAAAAGTGTAAACACAAACAAAATCATGCCAAAACAGAATGAGTTCGAAACCAGCCCCTCCCTTGGTTGTTTCTTTCCGGAAAAATGCAAACACAGTATTAAAGTGGAATCATATATCACATACGATCAAGCCACCTGACGACTTCCAGAAAGCCACATAGCTCGGATCTTCTTACAAAATAAAATGTTGATACTTTAGGATCCATAACCAAATAAAATGTTGATACCTTCAGTCAGATCTCTCTCTGTCTGACTCTCTCTCACACACTTACACATACAAAACATGTTTGCCCATGGTGCAAGGAAACAATGGCCACACTCAATCCAAATTCTTATACCCTGATTTCGTCACCCCATTTACAACAAACTTCTTCAGGAATGTCCCAGGTAGGTACTTGCTCTGAGCAACTTTGCACGCTGATTTCCGTCCCTCCCCGAGTTACGGTTGCAAGATCTAGTAACACTAGCATTTCAAACCCTATATTCCCGATACGGAAATCCAAAAGAAAAGTTTTTGGCATACCTCACGGTCAAAATTCCATTAACCAACAAAGATAAATTCAACACCCAGTGAGGTCTAAGAAAATGTAATACGCATCGATACACCACAACATGAGGCACCACCAAGTATTCCCTATCTAGATCACACATAGTACATCAAAAACCAACTGTTACCCACTAAACTAAACTCAATTGACATCCAATTCAAACCGATCCAATAAAGATACCCTAAAACACTTGAACTTGAAGCTTTGTATAGATATTTAATGCTGACACTAACATTGGATTGTCACTAGCAGAACAGAACAAGCAATGTTACTTCAAGACCGAGCTTAAACACAAAACACACAAAAGCTAAAGATAATGGAAAAACTACCTGAATATAACATTCCGATCAAGCATGAAAACAGCAGGTCGACTGCGATCATCGCCATCTTCCACGACAACAGTTTTGCCCAGTCTCATCCTCTCCCCTGCTTCCCACATCTCTCCAACCTCTCGCCACCTGCAACCACCATTCCCATTCTTCAATTCCATTACCACAGCGTCTCTGTAATGCTCGTCCACCGGAAAAACCCCTGATATTGTTCTGGACTCGCCGTACCCACCCATAACCCAGAACTCCCTCTCCTCGCCATCCCCAACAAAGAACCCCGCGCACCCAGCCCGAAAACCTGGCAACCCGTCCATTGCAACCCATTCATTTCTACCAATGTCATACCGCTCGACTGAGCTCATTCGGCTTCCAGCCGCGCTGAACAGAGTGTGCCGGGAGCCGCCGCCAGCGACGAGAATCTCTCCCGAATTTGGAACCGCGGCGCAGGCGAAACTTCCGCGCGGCGTGAGCATAGGAGCGAGGAAGCTCCACGAGGAAGTGCTGAAGTCAAATCGGAAGACCGCGGAGGACGGCGAGGGGCGGTCGATCGGAAACGAACGAGTGTCGAAGAGCGAGCCGCCGATGACGTAGAGATGGGGCCCAATGGAGAGGGAGGTGAAGTTGCAGAGTCCGTAGACGTGGGGGTTGCAGGGCATGGGCGGGAGGGGGCACCAGGCTAGGGTTCGGGGATCGAAGAGGAAAGGGGCGGCGACGGAGGGGTCCTGGGGGAAGACGCAGAGGAGGTGGGAGAGGTTGCTGCGGTGGTGGGTCTGGCGGAGGGCGATTAGGGTTTTGGAGGAGAGGAAGAGCCTCCATGATTTGCAGGTGGGTCGGAGACGGGCCTGGTGGGAGAAGGGGATGAAGGAGAGGATCAACGCAGAGACGTCGTTTGGGAGGCCGGGAATTAGGGTTAGGGATTCGTCGGTCGGAATCAATAGCGAAGAGGAAGAAGAAGGAGGAGGAGATGGAGGTGGAAATCGGGTCATTTCTTCCTCTTCGGGTTCCGATTGGGCGTTGATCTTTTTACCTTTTTTTTTTTTTTAATCTCAGTTTGTTTGGACATGCAGCTTGTGCAGAATGTCCAAAAGGCTACAGTTGAGCAACACGTGGATTGGCGGTTGATAACTCCCTCCATTTTATCCGGAAGGGATGGGGTTACTTAGCTAAGGGGTTTTTTCATGGATTTTTTTACAGAGTTTAAAGTTAATTTTTATACAATATAATAAAATATTAAAAATATGAGTTCGAAAAGAATTGATGGGGAGTGTCACTTTTTTTTTAAAAACGATATTATCTACTATAAGATGTGGAGAAGTGGATTAAGCCTCAAAATGAACTTACAATAATGTGGTTCAAATTCTTCTGCAACAAACATCAAGTTTTCTTCTAATTTTCTTTGTCAAGAGCACAAACCAACAAGAATCACAAAAGAGTCACAATCTATGACTTGTTCGGAAGTACTTTAAAATGACTGCAAGCGATTTGGTGAAAATATTTTTAGAATTAAACATTAGTAAAAATACAAGTGAATCTTGAAAAAAACACACTTAAAATACTTTTAGGAACCATAAATATTTTTTTTTAAATATTTTCAATCATTTTAAAAACACTAATAAACGAGCTTCTAGTCTCTCTAAAGTGATTTGAGATTGAGCAGAGTTTGGACCCAATACAAAATTCATTGTCCAAGCCATTGGACCCATTATTTGGGCCCAATAAAAAACCAACGAATTTAACAGCGGTCGTCTCTTTCTTGTGAAGAAAGAGTGAGAGTATGGCGCGAAGGGAGTGAGAGGGAGCCACAAGAATGGCGAAAATGTGGGAAGTGCGAAGACTGCCACTTCCACAAACCAAACGACACGAACAACGCAACCCCAAACCAACGAAGGACAAAGGGAAGAAAAGCAAAGAGTAAGCAACTTCTGCAAGTTTTTTTCGTTTCCACTATAAAAATCTCCGATTTTTTACGAGAAAATGGGACCCGAATCGCTGAAATCTTGATGGGTTTTGATTCTTGTGAAGAAGGGTATCTGCGTTTCTGGGTTTCTCGTTGAGAATCAATCGTAATGGTATTTTTAATTTCGAAACTTTGTTTTACATTTCTGGTTTCTATTTGTGAATTTCCCATGAAAATGTAATTTGATGATGAATGCTGCTTCAGTAGTATGTGGAAAATGGGATCATCATAATTTTTCCGAAAAGACGATATTTTGAACTGCTCTAAAATACGGGAGGTGGATTCAAACTTGGATGCAAAGGGATATCATTGTAATTATCTTAGATTGAAAACTTAGGGGGATAAATTATGAGATCCCATAAGTTTTTTTTTCGTGGTCAGTAATCCGATGTGCTTATTACCTACTATTACCTACTGAAGGCGTAAACTGACTATTGTGGTACATACTGTGCTAACAAAATGTGAAAAGGGAGATGAACTGATTATGTGGTAAAAACTTTTAACTGCTGCAGGCCAAGCCAGTGACCATTGTTGTTGGTTCTCATATTTGGGTTGAAAACCCAGTTTGGATTGACGGAGAAGTACTAAACATTAAGGGAGATGACGCTGAGATTCAAACTAGTGGTGGGAGTAAGGTAATCTATTATTTGCTAGTTTCATTTTCAAGGATTTTGGGTGCTGAATCATCATTGGTATTTATATGATTTTGTATGTGTTTGGTTCATTAGGCAAAGATGGAGCAGTTCTTAATGTGATTTTTTTTTATTTTTGTATTTTTGGAGCACGATAAGATTTTGTATGTGTTTGTTAACCCAACTTCAGGCAGGAGTTTTATGCATCATTCTAGTTTCTGCTTAGAAATATCAAGATGTTATTTAAGAAGAGACCGAACCTGCTGTTATATTCTCTTGGAAGATTTCATAGGCATATCCTTTTTTTTTTTGAGTTTTTTGCAGCAAAACATGCAGTTCTGATGTCATTTTGGGACAGACTAAAAAAATCTCTTATAAGAAGCTTCTGTTCTATTTTTCAGTCATTAGTTTCCTTATAAAAAGAGACTCCATGAGTTATGTGCCAAAATATCACATAGATGCAGCTGTACTGAAAGGCCAATTTGTTATTCTGTTAAGTCGACCTACTTTGTGTTGTCCAGGTTGTTGCAAAGCTGTCAAAAATATATCCAAAGGATACAGAAACTCCTCCTGGTGGAGTTGATGACATGACTAAGCTATCATACTTGCATGAACCCGGAGTGCTTCACAATTTGGCAACTAGATATGAGATAAATGAAATTTATGTAAGATTTTTCTCATCTTCTGTTTTGTGTTAATTAATGTACATCCTGGTGAAGAAAGTGATTAATCACTGCAGCTATGGGCGTCTCTGTTATAATACTTTGACATCATGGCAGACTTACACTGGAAACATTCTCATCGCCATCAATCCTTTCCAAAGTCTCTCACATCTGTATGATGCTGATATGATGGAACGGTATAATGGAGTACCATATGGAGAACTGAGGCCTCATGTTTTTGCAATAGCCGATGCTGCATACAGGTTAACTGTGTTTCTTTTGCATCCTACTCTTTATCCTTAAATGATGATGCAGTTACTTAAGTGAATTTCCCAAATGTGATCAGGGAAATGATTAAGGAGGGAAAAGGAAACTCGATTCTGGTTAGTGGGGAAAGCGGAGCTGGTAAGACCGAAACAACTAAAATGCTTATGCGCTACCTTGCCTATTTGGGTGGTAATGCTGCAGCTGAAGGGCGGACTGTTGAACAAAAAGTTTTAGAAGTAAGCTGTGTATTTTGGTATCTAACGTTTTTAGTGAGTAAAGTGAGATCTGAAGCCTTGCATAACTATCCTTTCCCATCACTAAACAAAATGATGTTAAGTGCCAATCTTTTATTTATTTTCTCAACTGGGTAATATTCATTTTATTGTTTCCACTTGTACCATTCTAATTTGTTTTGGTTGTAACTGACATGGTGCAGTCAAATCCAGTTCTTGAAGCATTTGGTAACGCTAAGACTGTTAGGAATAACAATTCCAGGTGAGAAATTTTTAAATGCTTTAGTATTTTGAGTTGTTTCTGCTGTTAGTACATTTGTAGGCTCCGCATGACTTTTGATATACTTTTACGTTTTAGGTTCATGGGCATTCAGTGTATATTTATGTCAAGAGTAGAGAATAATACTGGTTTGCATGTACACTCAAAAAACCAGGGTTGCAGTTTGTTTGTGATGAGATTCCTGGTGGAAAAAAATACATTGAAATTCATAAAACCCTTCTTCTTCTTCTTCTTCTTCTTCTTTATTTTTCTTTTTATTGGGTGGGGGGGTGATTATTTGGCAACATGATCTATTTGGAACTGTACAACAGTGAAACTTTCGTAGTCTGTAACTAACTTTTGTTCTCTTGAAAATATTGGTGAAGCCGCTTTGGGAAATTTGTCGAGATTCAATTTGATAAATGTGGTAGAATATCAGGGGCAGCCATTAGAACATATCTCTTAGAGAGATCTCGTGTTTGCCAGATTTCGGATTCAGAGCGTAACTATCACTGTTTTTACCTCCTCTGTGCTGCACCGCCTCAGGTAGATCGCTCAATTTTCTACTTTAGTGCATATATATGATATTTCCAAAATTTTCCGTTAACAGATTTTAATCTTATCAGGAAATAGAGAAATATAAGTTGGGAGAACCTAAGTTGTATCACTATCTTAATCAATCAAATTGCTATGAACTTGATGGCACAAGTGATCAGCACAATTATCTCTCCACTCGGAGAGCCATGGATGTTGTTGGAATAAATGCAGTAGAACAGGTATGTTCTTTTGATTTGAACCTAACATTTGTTTACTGCTAAGTTAAGCATCTTTATACAGAACTTCTGGGAATAATTCTCTCTCTCTCTCTCTCTCTCTCTCTCTCTCTCTCTCTCTCTCTCTCTCTCCCAGGAGGCTATTTTCAGAGTTGTAGCTGCAATTCTTCATCTTGGGAATATTGATTTTGCCAATGGGGGAGATAATGACTCATCTGTTCTGAAAAATGACGAATCCCTTTTTCATCTTCAAATGACAGCAGAACTTCTCATGTGTGTCTCGAGCTTTGCTATGGACACAATTCCTTTTTCTTTTTCTTTTTTTGTGTCAATCACAGTGCAGTTTTGTTCTGTCTTATTCGTATTACAGGTGTAATCCTCGGGCTCTGGAAGATGCACTGTGTAAGCGTGTAATGGTTACTCCAGAAGAAATTATTAAAAAAAGTCTTGATCCCCATGGCGCAACAGTTAGCAGGGATGGATTGGCCAAGACTATATATTCTCGTTTGTTTGACTGGTAAGATGCTAGCTTCTGAATCATTCTCACTCAAATGATTACTGTGGAAATGAAGCATCTAACAATATTGGTTTTATCTATTTATTTATTATTTACTTTTTTATCTTCAGGTTGGTGGATAAGATCAATTTCTCAATTGGACAGGACCCTAACTCCAAATGTCTGATTGGGGTTCTTGATATATATGGTTTTGAAAGCTTCAAAACTAACAGGTAATGGTTGAATACAGAAAATGTTTCAGCCTGATTATGTTCTGTGCATGTAAAAAAAACAAAAACTTTCTGATCTATATTTGGTACACATAAGAAGACCTGACACTACCTAGCATCAGGTGACTTGAACTTCTGACCTGCACTAAGGTACTTGGGAAATCGTCCATATATTGCTGAATCCAAATTCACTCAGTTATAGATAATAAAAAACTGAGGAGATGAAATTAAATTTACCTAGACTCTCACTGAGTATTTTCACTCCTAACTTATTATGTCTCATTAATGCAGTTTTGAGCAGTTCTGTATTAATTACACTAATGAAAAGCTGCAACAACATTTCAACAAGGTATGAGGTTAGTCATACTTGAAAACTTCAGTTTTAAGTAACTTGTTTTTAATATATAATCTAAGTGGTATGATTTGATTCAGCATGTATTCAAGACGCAACAAGAGGAATACACTAAAGAGGAAATCGATTGGAGCTACATAGAATTTGTTGATAATAAAGATGTCCTTGATCTCATTGAACAGGTCTTCTTTTTACTCTCTCTCTCTCTCTCTCTCTCTCTCTCTCTCTCTCTCTCCCCTTTAAAAATGAAGACTTGTCCCTTTCCTGTGCTGCATCATTCATGATATTAGAGTGTATCATTGTGAACGGCCATGTCTATGGGACATCATGTTTGTTGTTGCAACCCTTATTTTAGAACCCCAAATGTCTTTCCACGCCATGATAATAATTGGTAAAAATTTTGCATGTGTTTCTGAATGGTACATTGAATTTACTCTCTTGGTTTTATTTTAGTGTATTTCTGATTTGTTCGTCCAGCAGTTAACTTATGAGTAGTATACTGAATTAGCTGCCATACACCCATACACTCATCACTAGTTGATTTCGTTTCTGCAGAAGAAAGGGGGGATTATTGCTCTGCTTGATGAAGCTTGGTATGAACATCTCTTCATTCTTGACTGCAGTTACATGCACACACACACTTGCTACAAAATGGTTCTTGCTCAGATACTTCATATTAGGTGAAGTTAAGATAGAAAATCTCCACTTTCTTCACTGAAATTGCACACACGTGAACAGAGATTCCTGCTCAGATACTTCATATTAGGTTGGATGGCACACACATGCACAGGATCTCCACTTTCTTCACTGAAATTGAACATTATTGTGTTGGATGGCACTGAAGTTTTCAGTTCATCTATATTTCTAATCACATTTTTCTTGGACAACATTTTCGCGTTGCAGTATGTTTCCAAAATCAACTCATGAAACATTTTCAACAAAGCTGTATCAGACATTCAAAGATCACAAACGCTTCATCAAGCCAAAACTGACCCGCTCAGATTTCACCATTGTTCATTATGCAGGAGAAGTGGCCTTGGTTCCTGTATTTTGCACTGAAATCTATCTTTTGTAATGTGGTTTCCACTGAACTGTCTTTTCTTTTTGCACTTTTTTTTTCAGGTACAATATCAGTCTGATCAATTTCTTGACAAAAATAAAGACTATATTGTTCCTGAACATCGAGATTTGTTGAGTGCATCGACATGTTCTTTTGTAGCAGGCCTTTTCCCTCCACTTACTGAGGAGGTGGCCAAATCTTCCAAGTTTTCATCCATCAGTTCTCGTTTTAAGGTATCTTCTATTCAGGCCGTCTGCCTACAATTGTGGTCTTGGAAAGAATGAGTATTGTTGTTTTGGATTATACCATACAAAATACTGGAAAAGCAGTTACTCATGTTTTTTCATGTGTCATGAGATGATTTAATTCACAGAGGTGAAACTTAATTTTCTGACCATTTTGATGCAGCTACAACTCCAACAATTGATGGAAATACTAAATTCTACAGAACCCCATTACATAAGATGTATAAAGCCGAATAATGTTTTAAAGCCCGCTGTATTTGAGAATGATAATGTCATGCAACAGCTACGTTCTGGTGTAAGTATAATGTGAACTGTGTGTATACTACGACTTATAATGAATTGGTGGCCTTAATACTTTGTCATTTGCATAGGGTGTTTTAGAGGCTGTCCGAATAAAATGTGCTGGATACCCTACTTACAGGAGTTTTTCTGAATTTTTAAGTCGATTCCGTGTCCTGGCCCCAGAAGTTTTAAAAATGGAGTAAGTTCCAACTTACGCTTTCATTTTTAATTTTTTTTTCTTCACATTTTCATCTTCAATCTCATTGGTATCTTTTCTGCTATTTCACTGGTATTTTGGTTATGTTCCCATTTCTGAACTTAATGCCTATATGATCAGTTGTCCTGAAAATGAAGCCTGTGAAAAGATTTTGGTGAAGATGGGCCTTAGAGGTTATCAGGTAATAAGAACATTAGTGCTTATCAATCACTATTACATTTACAATCACACGACAAGTTCACAACAGAAAATTATGGAACTCCAGATATACTTGGATTTTCCGTGGTGGTTCACCACAACTATCATATAGTAGGAAGCTCCTATCCTATGACTATTATTGATTGGATAGCTATGATGCAGAACCCAATTGAAATAGCTGAAAACAGAGAGAAGAGGGAATAAGGAGGGGAGGAAAGAAAATGGGACTGATAGAAATTCAAGACACAAGATACCTTTGTAAATAATGAAAAGTTTCCCCCAGAGTTTGATCATGACTTATTTATAGAGCCAGTGTGAAATCACCTTAAAATCAAAGATTGCGTCATTTAGTTGCAAGATATCTTTATATATTCAACTAAGCTTTATTTACGTATTTTTTTGTGCAGATAGGGAAAACAAAGGTTTTCCTAAGAGCTGGTCAGATGGCTGAGCTAGATGCAAAGAGAATACTCTTACTTGGCGACTCATCTAAGGTGATTCAAACGCGGGGCAGGACTCGTATAACTCGTAAAAAGTATGTTTCTACACGGGAGGCTTCTATTTGTGTACAATCATTTTGTAAAGGTGAGTGCATAAAAAGAAGAGATAGCCATTTTCTTGAGATGTTCCTTTTTCTTTTTTTTTTTCTTTTTTAAGGCAAAATCCTGAAAACTTTTAGTAGATTTGATCCTCCTGAATTTATGTAGAATTGCATTACCCTAGCAGTTAGTGCACTTATCCACTATATACTAAATACCCTTGCAATTATCTGCATATACTCGCTAGTTTTATATGTACAATATTTTACAAGTATTTCGTTGTTTATGATTCAGGAGAACTGGTTCGCAAGTTATTCAAGCTCAAGAAGCGGGAGATTTCCGCAGTTAAAATTCAGAAGACTGCCCGTAAACGCCTGGCAAGAAAAGACTATCTCAGAATCAAGTTCGCTTCGACTATCTTACAGGCAGGTGTAAGGGCAGTGGCTGCCCGTGATGAATTTAGATATAGGGTTAATGCGGCAATTATTATTCAGGTGATTATCCAGCTTCCTGTATGGGTAACTTGCTATATACAATATACATAGTTTGTTGCTTTTCACTATTTTAAACAAAGTGTCTTAACGCCTGGTGAGGAAAGACTCTCAACTTTGTTCTCCTTTCTCTTACAGACAGGTTTACGGGCAATGGCTGCTCGTTATGATTTTAGATGTAGAATTAATGCGGCAGTTATTATTCAGTTGACCTAGTTCCTGTTTCTCTATATTACATATTTGGTTGCTTTTCACATTGTGAAACACCTAGAGAAAATCTCAAAATTAAATTCTCCTCAATTGTCTACAGACAGGTTTACGGGCAATGGCTGCTCGTGATGTTTTTAGATGTAGAATTAATGCGGCAGTTATTATTCAGGTGGCCTAGTTTCCTGTTTCTCTAATTTTACGTATTTGGTTTCTTTTCACATTCTCTAAGGATATGTGAAACACCCGGAGAAAATCTCAAAATTAAATTCTTCTCACTTGTCTACAGACAGGTTTACGTGCAATGGCTGCTCGTGATGTTTTTAGATGTAGAGCCCAATCTAAGCCTAAAGTTATTGTTCAGGTAATAAGAAACTTAAAGAAGTATCAATAATGCAGCACCAAATTTCTTACTTCTAAGCTCTTGTTAAGAAATCATGCTTCGCATTTGAATGTTAAACATTTATGCTACGGTTAATGTGGCACTAAATATCTTCACTTTTAAATTCTTGTAATGGAACTATCCTTTTTACAGACAACTATTGTACTTTCAAGTTCGTTAACTGGATTTTGCCCATTTGTACAGACTGATTTGGAGACAAAAATAGCAGAAACACCGAAGTTGGAGCCCTCCGTGCAAGCTAATGTAAGCAAAGTTGATGCAACAGATTTGTTGCCTTATTATCAGGTTTCACTGATAGAAATTACGAAAGCGTGCCCTATTATTAAATAAGGAAAACTAATGAAAAGGGCTTGAAAACTTTGAGTTTTAATGACAAGGACAAAATAAAGGATAAAGTGAATAGTACCAAGATTGATTTTTTAGTGTAAAAATGTGGTTTTTCATTAAAGTGAACAGTACCAGGTGCTTTTCGTTAAAGTGCTGAAATCAATGGATGGCACTTACAATAATGCGGCACAAAGTATCTTTACTTCTAAATTCTCATGATGAAATCTATTTTCTACAGACGAGTATTATACCTTGTACAAAATCAGGAGCATTATGCAAGGTAGTGCTTTTTTAAGTGTTTTTACTTTTTACTGAAGCTTAGATTATGTTTGCAGACTGACTTGGAAAAAGAAAAGGTTGAAGAGGCAACAAATGCAGAGTCCTCCCTGCTTACTAATGTAAGCAGAGGGTTTGAAATAGATGCATTGTCTAAAAGTCAGGTTGCACAGGTAGAAATTGAAGATGCATGCTCTATAACCGAAGATCTTTCAAGTCCTGATCAAAACGCTGAAAGAGTTAAAATTCTTACTGCAGAAGTTGAAAGTCTGAAGGTAATGATATTGAACGTATAAATAAGAGAATTACCATTCTATTTATTCCATTATTGTTGTCATTTTAAACTGGCTTCGGAATTACAGCATCTACAATTTGATACTCCTGTCTGTTTTCACATAGGTCATGTTGCAAGCTGAAAAACAAAGAGCCAATGAGTGTGAAAGGAGATACGTAGAAGCTCGGGTATCAAGTGAGGAAGGACGTAGAAAGTTAGAGGAAACTGAAAGAATAGTTCTTCAACTTCAGGAATCTTTGAACAGGTAGTACGAATTATACTCATCAGTATTTCTGTTCTCATTCATCTTGTGTATGTGCTGGTCTAGTTTCTTCACAAAAATAGGAATCAAATATAGTTTCTATGTGTTAGGACTTTGAAATCCTATTTTTTCAAGCGTGCTATAGGTTTTTCTTTTTGACAAAAAAAAAAAAAAAAGAGTAATTCAATTCAGAATCACTGTAATGAGATTCCCAATATAAATTTCTTTTGACCATTAATCAAGATTTTTTTTTTCTTTGGGTACATGATGCAATAAGCTGGAAAGCACCAGAGACAGCATTTCAGTGACGGGAATTTTGCTTCTAATTTGTTTAGATTTGTGCATATATGACAACTTGCAATCATTCTGATGTTTGTAAAGCTGCTCATAAATTCATTTGACTAATACTAAATATAATCTAGTGTGTTTCAGGATGATATATTGCATGTCAAACCAAGTTTCCGAGCTGAAAACAATATTATCTACAGCATCCAAGTCAAGTTCAACAACTTCAGGACCTTTGGTTAGACACGAAGGGTTTGATAGCATTTCCAGTAACTCTGATTATTCATCCACCGACTCAGATTTCACTTTTCCAGCTCCAGCTACAAGTTCAGTTAACTTTTCTTCTACCGGCCCCAGTTCTATCCAGCTTATAGTTCAGGACGTTTCAGGCGGAGAAGTTTCAGGTTAGTTTAGTTATATGTATTTTGGTTTTCTGGTCATATGTAGGTACTTTTTAATTCAGAACAACCATCAATATTCTAAGTAAGTTTGCAACTGGTCCCCCACTTTGTATGTGATTTCACCAAAGACAGTGGTCCTATATCATACAAAACATGTAATGTTTCTATGGCGAGATTAAATCGCCACAATTCAATATGTTTATGACTTGTGAGTTGTGTTTCAGTGTTTTACGTTTTCATTTTTCCCTCGATGATACATTGCAGGATCTGAAAACGAGAAGGAGGGGGCTTTTGATGACTTCTTCTGACGGAGCTTGTTCTAATTATTTTCTTCTTTCTTGCTTAGACATGCGTCTCTCATTAACCGTCAGACTTCTGGCACTGTAAATAGATCGCCAGACTTGAACATATACGTCCCATATGCTTCATACCGGTTCATAGACCGACAAGTTTCTCTCAAGATTATACAGATCCATTGGTCAGGTAGTGTGTAGCAAGGGATCAAATGTAGTAAATTTAGGGTAGTAACGTCCGTTGTGATTTCAGTTTGCCTTGTTAACCGGCCACGGCCTTAACGTGCACAAGAAGCTTCCTCCAATTTTACTTTAGCATTTCACTGTAATTGATTTTATTAGACAGCTTCAGGGTGTTAAATTATCTCAACTCAATGTATATATTGTGGTGCTTTTTTTTTCAAACAACTGCTCTAAGCCAAATTTCTCGTTTTCTCGTAACTTTTTTGGTGTAACTGTAGCTCCGTCATGTGAGTAAAATCTCATAAATTTCATAGTTAGATTCAATAACGGGGAATTATCCGGATTTACTTGTAAAATTCTCTTATGTTTTGATTTTGTTTTTCAGCATTTTGGTTTTTGGAGTAAAATCCCAAATCCCTTTCATGCATAGCATATAAGTGGCAACTTGTAATTATATACGGTATAATCCTGTAATTCAAAATTACAAGGCTTCAATAATTCATAATGCAATAATTAAAACCGGCATTAAAAAAGGGTGCAAACAATTATTGTAATGATTGTCCATCATTGTATTGTGAACGATTAAGCCTTAATTTACATCTACCTATAAAACTCAACTTGAGCCTGATACTTAAATTTTGTTACTTAATCCCCTAAAAATCAAACTCGCATCTCACTTTGTCCATATCATCAAAATATGTTAAAAATCCAGCAAAACTATTTTTGTGGTACACATCTCAACAACAGGTCCTGTTTGTAAAAACCTTACGCGCGAGACCTGTGTGTTCATCATAGACATTGTTTATAAAATTGAACACTATTTATGAAACTGAACGATACTACACTATTTATTGGTCCAGTTTCATAAATAGTGCTTAGTTCTTTATTCACTTTTAGAAATAATGCTTAGTTCTTGGTCATGTTTCATAAATAGTGCATAATTATTGGGTTCAGTCTCATTAATTGTGTATAGTAATTGGTACAGTTTCATAAATAGTATTTCTTTCTTCGTCCCATTTCATAAATGGTATCTAGTTATTTGTCCACTTTCACAAATAGTGCCTAGTTCTTGATCTAGTTTCATAAATAGTTTCAACATATTGGTTTAGTTTTAGAAATTGTTTGTACCATACTTGACCAATCCCGAAATTACTGAGCACTGGTCAACGTTATACCGTCAAGGACCCAGAAGAGTTTCCCTCTAACCAGGAGGCCAATCACAGCGCGACACGTGTCGACGTCAGAAGCCAATCACAACACAACACGTGTCAATGCCAGAATGAAACTAGAGATCATTCTCTCACAATATTCCTTAATATCATTTGTACTAAATCATTCAGTAGTACTCACTAAAGAAGAGCTTGAACCTATGTACTTGTGTAAACCCTTCACATTAATAAGAACTCCTCTACTCCGTGGACGTAGCCAATCCGGGTGAACCACGTACATCTTGTGTTTGATTCCCTGTCCCTATCCATTTACTTACTTATCCACACTAGTGACCGGAGCAATCTAGCGAAGGTCAAAAACTTAACACTTTCTGTTGTACCAAAGTCTTCACTGATTTTGTGCATCAACATTTGGCGCCGTCTGTGGGAACGACACTTATTCCCACTCTCTTCAGCTTTGCCAAGTTGGTTTCCACCATTCGTACACTCTCTTTTGACCAGGCATCCCTCTCCAACATGGGGAGCGAAGGAAGCCACAACACACAGAATGACACCCCTCTTGCACCTAGTGCGAAGCAACGAAAGAATGAAGGAAATAGGGTTGATCTTCAAGCTAAAGTCGATGAGCTAGAAGCTCAAAACAACAAGATAGAATAAAGAATGAGGTCCTCCAGGAGTAGTATGAGAAACTCTTTGAGACGTTACACGAAACTAGGCGTACTCAAACACGTGAGCTCGTTGCCCCTATGGACATTAACCATCATCTGGATGCCCCTTAAAACGGAGGGTCACCTCCCTTCAACATAGGTATCCCTGAGGAGGAGCGAGCTAATCATCAAAACATTGATCAACATGAGACTTCTCTCAACCCAGATGCTTCGACCCGAAGTAGAAGAAGTGGAGGAAGACACCTCCTTGTAGAAGGGTTGGAATGATCAAAAGCCGTTTATCGTGACTGCCGAGACTTCCTAAAGCAATGTCGAGAAAATCCCTTCCACATATACTCGAAGATCAATGACCCAAGGGTTTCTGAAAGACTCGGTCCCCTCCTACGACCCAGGCCAGCTGCCAATCTAGGGAAGGAACGACAGGTCCCAGAGGAACATGAAGGTACGGGGGACTCTGAGGTATTCCGACAGACTCACTCTAGAAGTCAGTACAGCGAGTCCAAGAAAAAACCACATGCCCTTGCTCAAACTTTCCTACTTCCAAGAGGCGATGGAGACTTATGAAAGAAAATTCCAGTGGTACATGACTCCACTCAGGACCCCCTTGTTCTACAACTCCTTGAGGAAGTAAACAAGTTGAATGCCGAACGTCAGGCCGAGATACCTGACTGGAACCAACCCAGGCCTGGCCCTCTCACAAGAAGGATCATCGACACCCCTCTTCAAACGAAGACAAAACAAAAGTTTGGTTTACAACTCTATACTGGAAGGGAGGACCCAATTGAACACCTTAACCTCTTTGAGTCCACCATGGCATATCGGATGCACACCGATGAAGAGCGATGTCTTCTCTTCCCCTCCACCCTCTCTAGTAGAGCTCTAAACTGATAACTTGTACACTATTCGCTAAAAGTCGGACGAGTCACTACGAGAGTATGCCGGTCGCTTCAATCATGAGTATTCTCGCTGCGCTGAGGCAGATAACAAGACCGCCATCAAGGCCTTCATGGCAAGCCTACGTGATTATTTCTTCAAGTACATGATCAATGCCAACACTTGGAAGACTTAGTCTGAGGTGATGGCACAGGCTTAAAACCACGCCTCCGCCCGAAACAAAGACATACTAAGGGAACCCCCATATGGTTAACCCCTATCAACAAATGGGAAATTGAAGTCAAGTTCTACCAAGTGAGGAGATATTGGTCATTCAGACACCCATAATCTCCTGCCTCATTTAGCTACTCGCAAAGTCACCAAATGTATCTGTCTCTTGGTAAGAGGAAGGATTTTTACTCACAGCAAGCCCATTACAACAAGAGGGATAAAAGTTCGTATCAAGACAACCAAGGGTGAACGTACCGTCGACTATTATGACTATGGGGCCAAGCCTCACTCTTTCAAAGTGGAGGACTAGGTACTGAAGGAAATGCTATTATAAGAAGGCATACACATTACAAATATTTTGACTCTCAACCGTTTGAGATCTTTTGTCACACAAGCCATTCGGCAAATATTTAAAGAAGAGGGAATTCAAACAACTTCTTCTGAGTCTTTTGCGTTCCTAGCACTGGAATACTTGGCCTACGCTGACCTACCCTTATACTCCAACTTAGAGCTTCAACATGCGTACTTTGACATAAAGTATGTGATACTAAGTGTTAAAACCAACATGGTTCACATATCAAAAGCATGGATCCCTTCATGCATATTAAAACATTCATAAGCATCACTCATATCAATTAACATAAACATTATACATTCCAACACATTCATACATAAACATCATACATTCCAACACATCCATACATAAGCCAACTGTGCTTTGAAAGGGTTCAACATACTTTGTGTCTACAATGTGCCTCGACACATTGCCCTTATTCTCACCAACCAGGTGATGAAATATGAAGAAGGAACTCATCTTCATGCCACCAACGAGGTGATGAAATGTACAACCCGTACTCTCCTTCATGCCACCAACCAGGTGATGAAATGTACAACCCGTACTCTAATATCATTTGGCAACTTGCCACTCATGCCACCAACCAGGTGAAGAATGAACTTATCTTCATGCTACCAACCAGATGATGAAATGTACAACCCATACTCTAATATCATTTGGCAACTTGCCACTCATGCCACCAACCAGGTAAAGAAGGAACTCATCTTCGTGCCACCAACTAGGTGATGAAATGTACAACCCATACTCTCCTTCATGCCACCAACCAGGTGATGAAATGTACAACCCGTACTCTAATATCATTTGGCAACTTGCCACTCATGCCACCAACCAGGTGAAGAAGGAACTCATCTTCATACCACAAACTAGGTGATGAAATGTGCAACCCGTACTCTTCTTCATGCCACCAACCAGGTGATAAAATATACAACCAGTACTCTAATATCATTTGGCAACTTGCCACTCATACCACCAACCGGGTGAAGAAGGAACTCATCTTCATGCCACCAACCAGTTGATGAAATGTACAACCCGTACTCTAATATCATTTGGCAACTTGTCATTCATGCCACCAACCAAGTGAAGAAGGAACTCATTATTGTGCCACCAACCAGGTGATGAAATGTGATGAAAGGTGATGAGGGAACTCATCTTCATACCACCAACCAAGTGATGAAAGCAACTCACCATTCATTCCACCTACCAGAAGACGAGTGGTACAACTTATACATGTGAACTCCTAGCATTCACAAATAATAAAAAACCCTCAAGCTTGACAACTCAATTAGGGGAGCACTTATGCCCAACAAGAGTTATAATCACCAACAAATTCTTATTGCAAGCCAACAACAACTCCAGTGCATGGCATACGAACATCAAGCTATTCAGCCCTCCTGCATCTGCTTCAGACATTTCCCCTCTGTAACAATGCAACCACTACAACTCGTAGAAAGCTTCACACATTCTTGATCAAGACATTGTGAAACAAAACCAATTTATAGTGCCAACAAGAGCTTCATCAAATGAGTTCAACCACAATTCTCAAAAGCTTCACACACTCTTGATCAAGACAGTGTGAAGCAAAACCAATTTATGGTGCCAACAAGAGCTTCATCAATGGAAGGCAACCACAATTCTCAAAAGCTTCATACACTCTTGATCAAGATAGTGTGAAGCAAAACCAATTTATGGTGTCAACAAAAGCTTCATCAAAGGAGTTCAACCACAATTCTCAAAAGTTTCACACATTCTTGATCAAGACAGTGTGAAGCAAAACCAAGTTATAATGCCAACAAGAGCTTCATCAATGGAAGGCAACCACAATTCTCAAAAGCTTCACACACTCTTGATCAAGACAGTGTGAAGCAAAACCAATTTATGGTGCCAACAAAAGCTTCATCAAAGAAGTTCAACCACAATTCTCAAAAGC